ATGTCTAAGTGTCGGTCCACAATAAGTGATTTAAGCTTTAAAAAGTAAGAAATTGACCAATTATAATCGAATATGAAAAGAATACTCGACTATGATTAGTCAATTTCTTACGGCTTAAAGATTAAATACTTATTGTGGACCGACACTAAAGACGTCTTGAGAAAGATGTCTTAAAGATGTCTTTTTAAAGATGTTTTTAAGACTATATCAGAAAGACGTCTTTCTGACGTATTAAAGACGTCTTTTCTAAGACATATATTCCATAACCTCAATCTGTCATCAATATAAAACGTTCTCTAAACGTTCTAAATGACAGTCCCAAACATAGTTATTTACATTACCAACTGTGACATTTATCGAGAAGCGATTATACATTTATTGATTGGAATAAATGACGTGACCAATTTCGATATAATGTAACCTATAAAAATATTGGTAGTCAGTTTATCTAGTACTCCAATATTTTATAATATACAAAAACGCAAAGATGAAATTATTCGGAAATGTATTGACAAGAGGAAGAAGCTGGAATTACTTGATAAATCGGTATATCAACGATTTAATATCTATACAACATTCTACATAACTTTCTAATGACAAAATTGATTTCTGATTACAATAGATAAATCAAAGTTGTATAACTACTATTATATCAACTATTATATCAACGATGTACCAATTTATTTAGTAATTCCAAATTCTGCATCATATTCTTCTTCTTCTCAATACTTTTCGTATAAATAATTTTTATACCATTATAGAATGTCCAAAAAATTTCAAATAAGATGTTTGAAAGATGTCTAAAAATGTCATTTATTGAAAAATAAGACGTCTTTAAGACATCTCAAAGGCGTCATAAATCAGGTCATAAGACATAAAAACATCTTAAAGATGTCTTTTTTTATAATTTAATAAGATGTCTCAATAATATATATAAAGATAATGTAAGATAATATAAGATAATATAGATAATATAAGAATAATAATAATAATAGATAATATAAGATGTCTCATAATATTTAAGACGTCATAATGTTCTCTGGGTCATACCTAAAAGTTGTAGAAGATGTAGTATCTCGATATATAAACAAAGAATTTAAAACTCACTTTCGGTATATTTTTATAATCTTTTATTCTTTGTAGATATGATAAACTGTTTCTATAATTTTACTAAAATATATTTATTTTAGATTACATCGGAATACATTTTTTTTTTATATTGGAATTAATAGGGCCAATCTTAGAAAGGGATGAATCAGATAGATGCATGATCTCTCCTGAAAAGCAATTAAAATAATAATTTCGTATATAATAATGTTTATACAACTTGGTGTAGCGCGAATGATCGAATCCGCTATAATATAAATATCAAACTTTATTTTTATCTCGTAATGCTTTTTGTGCGTTTTCTTTATTTATTATTATTTTATATTGAATATTTGAATATTTGTTTCTGCATCGAGTAGGTTTAACTCTTTTTTCTCGAACGTCACCATTTTGTACTGTGACTGCTGTATCTTTTTAGCTACAATAGCTGCAGCAGGAAATGACGACAAAATTTATGACGTCATTATTCTATGGTAGTGCTATCGCAGCACACTGGGATGAATTTCGGAACGGCATTACAGTACTGCCAGTACTGGTAGTGAGTTACGGAACGCAGCCACTATAACGACAAAGCTGTTCTGTAACACAAGCTAACGATACAAAATGTGTTTCGATATCGTTATCGTAACGAGTATACTTGGTTTCATATAACTTTTTCTTTGTAATATCCAACCAATGAAATCTGTTGCGAGGCAACCTAAATAAAGTAACCCAACTTCGTAACATCGCTGATTAGATCCCAAGGATTTTGATTAATCCGAGAATTATGAATTAAATAATTAAAATATGAAATAAAAAATAATAAGGAATAATGCGCGCTCGCGCCGATTGCAACCGGCAAGGACGCTGACTCTGACAACACGTGTCGAAACGCTGACGCACCAAACAACGTTTTCGACACGAGGACGCGTCGAGGCCGCGTAACAGCGGACCGATAAAAGAGCGACGAAAGTAATCAGGCGCGGTTCAGAATCAGATGCACGAGTACCGACGTATTGTTAATGAAGTGTGACAGTTCGCAAGTGATTCGATAATAACGAACACCGAGTGTTAAAATAAAAACTGTTTATTAAAAGATCGTGTGACTCCTTCCCCCCTTCCGCCACTATCTCCTCAGTTGCACCCGGAGCAGCACAACAAATCTTTTTTCTAACATTCTTTTCCGATAAGTTTAGGAATGTGAAAATAAATTATCGATGATAAGATTATAAACTTACAGTAAAGTGGTAAAGTGGGAAATAATAGAAGAGATAAATAAAGTTTGTGCAATGTCAGAGTAAGTATATATAAATAATTTAAGTAATATATGAAAAAATATTGATAAATTACATGTGAAATTGATATTAATTACTAGCAGTTCAATTGGCCAATGATTAATTATTTATTTTGAATGTTAAAAGCATTAGTGTTATATACAACAAGTTACATAGAGTTACATAGAAAATTAATACATAATTTTTTAAAATTATTAAATATAATAAATAATATAATAATAATAATAATAATAATAAATTGTTAATAATAATTATTATTAATTATTATTAATAATAATAATAATTAATAATTATATTTAATGTAATTTAATGTATAAATTAAATATAATTATTTAAATTATTTGTTTAAATTTAAAACGTCTCTACTCGGGTAAGATGTGTTTCACGGGATAGCGTCGGTCGGATGTGGTCAGGATTATTGAAGAGAAATAAAATATTGAGATCCTTTTTGATTCTATATACAAAGATCTATATTTATCATTAATTTCATGTATTTACAGTTTTACTGACTGAGTTTTGGTATGTATAATATGTACAAGTATTTGTCCCGGAATTTCGCCTTCGGTTCCGTGAAAACCGGCGCGAGTTCCGGGAATCGTACAATAGATTCGGCTCGCGGTCGGTTCCGTAAATTCTGCGCGTTCACGATAGGCGCGGCGCGGGCGTGACGGTGCGAGGGGTCTTCGGCGCGCCTGTTATGACGGATCAGCTGTTCGTGCGTTTCGTCGTGCGTACTGTCCGTCTGAGGTTTTTGTGCTGTGATCTTTGGAGCTCCCTGCTTCTTGACCGTCAGCGGCGGAAGGGCTTGCTTTAAAGCCAGATTGAGAAGACCCTCAATCTGTGATAAAGCTTGTGCGCTATGGATGAAAGGAGCGATCGACTAGAAGCTCCTGGCGCGATAGGAAGCACCCTAGATCGCTTTGTGTTGGACAGGACTGGAAGTGTCAAGAGCAGTACTGGACTACGTCTTACTGTCTCGCCGGTGATAGGTAGCGATCATCCACCGGAGTCGCTTAATATACCCGAGTCGACCGTCGGTCGGGAGTAGTCGGGTACTGGTCGGCCGAACTCGGGTCGGGGTAGTTCCGGGGGATGCTCTCGCCGGAATATTCGCGATAATTCGCCAAACGCGCTCGATTATTCCGCGAAGATGTTCGGTGGCGCGGTCGGCAGCGGGGCCGGCGGCGGTGGCCTAACCGGTGCGTGTTTATTCACGCTCTGCGCACGTGAAGCCGTGTGATCTCCGTTTTGCTTCGTCTGATATTCGACGTGATTTTACGACGGTGGGATCGCGGAAGGATCGCCGTGTCGATGCCCCGACGGTTGATCGGTCGGGAACGCTTAATATTATTTTAAACAATGAGGGGATGAGTCGGGTGTCGTTACAAATTTCTTTTTTTACATAATTAAAAAAATTTTTTAAGTAATATATTCCATACCAAATATCCTTCAACCATTTTACCTTAAAAATAAGAAAAATCTTAACTTTTTATCTAAAATTTTATATGAAAAACATTTGATTTACATTGCATATAATTCATAAATAAAATATAACCTATATCTATTTATTTATTTATTTTAATATCCTTAGATATTATAACACATTTGATAATACATTGTTTTTAATTAAAATATTTTATTGTAATATTACTTTTTGCATGTTTTTTTTAATATTTGATATGTTTAGAATAAGTTTATGATATTTATATATTTAAATTATAAAATTATACTATACTTGCACACTTCCGTACTACTATTCGGAGTCGCTTTGGAACGTTGCTATTGATTGATACGTCTAGTTATGTTGTCGTTATAGCTTATCGAGAGATCCGATATCCCTCGATACTTTAACGATAAGATTCGATACTTTATACTTTTAACGACATTTATATTACGTTAAATTACAGAA